ATTACTACTTGTTCGTTATACACAGCAGAGTCACGCCCTGATGGCAGGAACAGGGTGCCCCGGACGTCGCAGGATACCATGGGAGGGAGGGGGACGTAGCCTCACCCCGTAGAGGGCCCTTTATCAGACCAGGAGCTTGGCGTGAGAGAACCCTCGAGTGCCCTCTGCTGGCCTGAGGCCCCTCCGGCCTGCTCACTGGGGCTGCGAGGAGGTCAGCCCCCGGGGTAGGGCCAGTCTGGACGCCGGGCCACCAGCCTCAGGGGGCGGTTTCTGAGTCTGGGAGTGGGGTTTCTCAGCAGCTGGTGGAGGAGAACAGGGGGCCATCACTGGACAAGCCCATTCTCCATTCCAGAGGCGGAACCTGGCCCTGAACTAGTGTCACAGAGGAGCCGTGAGGCTGGCTGTAGGGACTCCGGGCCTCTGGTCCTGCCACCCCGCTGTGGCCCACAGACCTGCAGCATCCGCGGTGGAATGCAGCTGAGAGCCCCTGGGGGCGGCAGGACCACACAGAGCATCCTTCCTCCTTGCGGGCCTGTGCTTCTAAAGGACGCAGGATGCCTGAGGGGGGTTCCCGAGCCCACACCTGTAGGCAGCCTCGTCTCCTAACACAAGGGAGGGCATGGCGGTGGGGCTAGAAGCCCTGGGTCCTCCGCACCCGCATCCTAATCACAGAGGCGGGCCGGGAGGAGTTCCAGGTGCCCTGAAACCTCACAGCTAGGTCTGGCATTGATCTGACCAGGTGAGAAATAGGGAACACGGGGCCCGAGGGGCCCTTCCGTCCTGAGCGACGGTCTGTCTGCTCACACACGTGTCCTTGTCCACCTGGAGGGGTGCGTGTGGGGCCTCCTGGGCTCCGACGGCCAAGGCAGCACATGGCCACTTACGGCCTCTTCAGTTGGCCCCGCTGTCTCCCTCATCAGGGAAGGGCTTTAGCCAAGTGAGCATTCCTGGAGCTTGGTTATGGACTGAGAACAAGGGCTGGGGGAGACAGGATTCCAGACGCAGCCCCGAGATTCTGCCCCCCGACTCTCAGAGCCCGTGGGGAGGATGAACCACCTGTCCCGTGACTCTGCCACACTGTGGGGCCAAACTGACCTGCAGGCCAGGAGGTCACGATCCGTCACCGGAGCCCTCAGAGGCAGAAGGGGAAACCAGAGGGGAGAGCGATGAGGAGTGTGAGGAGGACCAGACGCGACACACGGGACTGGTTTGAAGAGCGAGGGGCCACGCGACATGGAAGGTGGGGGTCCCCGGGGGCAGGGAGCAGCCCCCAGTGACAGCCACAGCCGTACACCCACCAGGAACCGCCTCCTGCCAGGAACCTGCATGTGCGGGGCCCCCGGCAAGGGCCACAGCCCGGCTGCCACCTCCATCACGGCCCCTCCAGCCTCGGGGCAGCCAGCCAGGCCGTGCCTGACTTCTGACTGCCAGAATCCACAGCCACCCAGCGGGTGGGTAAGCCACGCAGCTTGCGCTGATTTAGGAAGGAACAGAAAAGGCACATGAGGGCTTACGAGGGAGGCGCGGAGGGTTTGGTCATTTAAACTCCAACATATTTCTGTCCTGGCAGACAGGAAGGTTGCCAGGAAATATCGACAAAGGTGGCAAAACGGGTAAAGAGGCAGGGGACTCTTTTCTATCAAGATAACCTGCTAACAGCAGACCTAGAGATGCTCATACTAAGTGAAGCAGGCCAGACACGGAGAAACATCATATGACGTCACTTATCTGTGGAATCTTAAAAATCGATACAGATGAACTTCTTTACAAAACAGAAACAGACTCACAGACACAGAAAAGAATCTTACATTACAAAGGGGAAGGGTGGGAGGGATAAATTCAGACTTTGGAATTAACAGATACGCACACTGTCTATAAAATAGATAAACCACAGGGTCCTACTGTAGAGCACAGGGAGCTACGTCCAGTGTCTTGTCACAGCCTAGAATGGAAAGGAATCTGAAAAGGAATATATATATATCTAACTCACTATGCCGTACACCAGAAACTTATACATTATAAATCAACTATACTTCAATTTAAAAAAAACCTACTGACAGTAATTTACCTTTGGTGGGCGGTTCTGGCTCTGGGGCACAGGGACCTGGGTGGTTACTTTCTAGTTAGTTTTGGGAAGGACTTAACCAGGTGGAGATCTCAGCAGCCCCGTGGGGGCCTGGGAGCAGTTCTGGCTGGAGCTTTATTTGCTGTCCCTGGACACAGAGAAGGACCCTGCATCTGAAAGCAACACGAACTCTGACACTCTGCGCCCACGTCCCACCATTAAGTGGCCTTTCGAGTGGGTCCAGCCTATCCAATCCCTCCTCAGAATTTACTGTCCTCCCATAAACTCAAACATCTCAGAGAAGACACACAGGCTAATTAAGCTTCACATGCTTGACAGTGAAAATGAACCAGACCAGCGCACTCTTTCTCGAAACAGCCGGAAACTTCTGGAAGGTCCTGCACATAGGCAGAATTCTTTGGGCTTGGTCCACCCATTCCACTAATGGATGGGGCGGGGGTACAAGGTCACTGGAACGGCCAAGGCTTCGTTGGAGGCAGCAGTCAGGGGAGTCCTGAAAGCTGGCGGGGGTCCTGAAAGCTTTACAAGCCCTGCCCGTCCCTGTCAAGGTACCAGGAGATTCCCGGGCCGGCCCTGCTGTGAGATTTGGATACTTTCTGCCCAGGTGTGCATCTCCCGTGGGGGAAGCAGCAGGCTATGGGACAGGAGGGACCCGAATGGGGACGAAAGAAGAACAAAAGCCAACGGGGAGGATGCAGTGTCCCCAGGGCTGGCCTTGTCAGGACAGCGCCCCCACTGACGCGCGGGATGGTGACGGTGGGAGAAGCCCCTCCTCCCCCGAGCACCAAGCTGCCCTGCCCACAGGTCGCGTGCCTTCCTCCTCGGCACCACAGGCCCTGAGGAACAGCTGAGAGACAGCCTTCCTCCTCCACGTGCCCACCTTTCAACCAGTGACCGCCAGCCGCCATCCTGGTCACCTCTGGACACTCCACAACTGAGTCTTACCCACTGTCAAATTAATACAATATTTCTGTGTTCATACAGAAATATTTCCCTGAACTCAATGCCAGAGGGACCACCAGAGTCCAGGGCGTCTGCTCAGGGGCCTGAGAGCGGCTCCGGGCCCCAGCCCCGCCGCAGGACCACTCACAGGGGGGGTCGAACGGCGTGTAGGGTCCCTCCTCGCCCTCCTCGTCCTCCTCGTCCTCCTCGTCCTGGTCGTTCTCGTTGTCCTCGTTCTCATTCTCCGCCTCGTCGCCAGCCTCAGCGACGGCGTCGTCCCTCCGGGCCCGGCTGCCGCCTCTGTCCGGGGCGCTGCCTGGCCCCGTCCCGTTCTCCACCGTGTGCTTGATGGGGATTCTGATGGCCACCTCGGACTCCCCGTTGGCATAAGCCCTGCTGTTGATCAGTCTCTGCCTCTGGAAAGAGAGAGGCACGTGCTAACGCGGCCAGAGGGGCTGCAAATCCTCACCCACATCACCAGCTACTGGAACCTTTCTCGGTCAGCGGACAAGGGAGGTGCTCCCAGAAGACTCTGCAGACAAGTTTTAAGGGATTCCTCAAAGTAAGGACCAACTCAGACGCCCTGCTTCTGGGAGGAGGGGATTATCTTTTATGGCCCCTGGGAACGCGCAGGTCCCTTCAGAGGAAGCTCCGCGCGTCTCAGACGCGCACGTGCTCTCTCCCGAGGGTCTTGATCGCATAACGTGGTGTTAACGCTCTGCCCCAGGTTGTGGGGACTCCTTGGTCCACATGTGGGAAAGCCACACAGACGTGTTTGGATTAGTCTATCAATAAGGCTGCCACTCTGGAGAAAGGAATATCCAGGAAAATTCAGGTTGCAGACTCCGAATTACTGTAAACCAGCGTAACCTTGATTTAGCAACTACTTCTGTGCAAGTTCACATCAGAGGACTTTATCCAAAGAAAGATGAAAGGAAGAGATCGGTGGAAGGGACACACAAGTTTTCCTATCTGCCTGGGAGCTGGACTGCAAACACGTGGAGGGGAGAGCAAGGGCCAGGAGGCACGGGTGGGCCAGGGAGCAAAGACGTCAGGAAACGGCTTCGGGATACTGACGTGTGAAACGTGGAGGGACGCTCTCCTCCTTTCAGACCTAGAAACTTTCTCCCCTTCCCGGTGCCCACCCCCGCCCAGCGGCAATGTGCTTGCCCAGATACCTCATTGATCAACATGCGGCTGGCCATGGAGAGTCGGGTCTTGGGGGGGAAGTGGCTGGTGATCATGATTCGAAGACCGGCCTCAGAGAAAGACAGCTGGTGTGGGTAGGCTGACAGCAGCTCGTCCACCATGATCACTGACGCTTTGCGGTGGAAATTGGCTGGGAAAATTAAAACCATAAAATAAAAGTAACTCTGCGGTTAGGAGCAGGGAAGAGACACTCATTCCTCTTCCCTCCCTTTCTCTTTTCTCACGCCTTCCTGCTTTTCTCCTGTCTTCACTCTCTCCCTCCCTCCCTTCTTTCTTTCCATCCATCTATCCAACCAAACATCCATCCATCATCTATATATCTATCCAACCTCCTATCCACCAATCCATCCATCATCCATCCGTCCATCCATCTATCCATCCATGGAAGGTTGTAGTGATCAAAATTTGGAGAAGAGTAAAAATCTGCTTTCCACGGGGCTCATCAATACCTCTTTTGAAATGACTCGAAACAATCTGTGTAGTTTGCTGACATGGTCACAATGAGTAATAACATAATAGAATCCTTTGTCCTTAAAGGATTCTTTTCTCGTCACTCAGATCTGGGGCACAGGAAACATCCCAGTGGTCTTTAGTAACCGTTTATACCCTTACATGTCAACAGTGTACACAGTGAGCTGTTAAAAGCCACAGGACTGATGTTAGTCCTAGTGGAGGACATGGTGGGAAAATGTCCATGCTGTCGTGGCCACGCCCATATGCAGGGCTGACCGCGGGCTTAGGGGCCGGGTGACCTGGCCACCTCACAGAGGCTCAAGTCCAGGAGGGGCTTAGGGTAAATCTTCTGTAATGATTTGCTGGCAGGCCTGAAAAAAAAAGTGCCACCACAGCCCAAGCCCCTCTCTGTGGATGTTTTAATACGAGCGCACGGCTCACAGGTACCTGGCCGCAGCCTCACTCCTGTTGTCCAAGCCACTAGACCACGAAATGATCTCTGGAAACACTGACTAACAGCAGGTGGCTCTCCCTAGTCCTGAGAGTGGCCCGTTTATGGTTATAAACTACCCTGAAGAGAAGAAACTAAATGAGATCCTGCTGTGGGACGGCACTGAATACCTGTAAGTCTTCTGTCAAACATGCATATAATTAATGAGAAAAGTATATCAAATAACTGATTTTCAAACTCTAATAGTTACCCACGATTACCCAGATTTTGAACTCAGATATATATTTGAAAATAACCTATAGATCTTCTAACTTCTTTTTTGTTTTTCCTGCAAGGCAAACAAAATGGGACCGAGGAGAGATAAACCCACATATTTCAAGGGGAAAGTTTAAAAAAATTAAATGAAAAACACCTTCTAGGCAAAAGTAAATGATAATTCTTCTCTAAGAAAGAATATTATGTATTACAGAGTGCTGTGTTACTTCTCTTTGTGTATCAGAGATGTTCAGTAAGCATCGATGGGATATAAAAATCCCATTAAAAGAAAACCCAGGTACTTTTCTGTGTCATTTTGCAGTTTGGAGACCGAGGTCACGTGGCCTGAGAGTGAATCTGGGTGTCATAGTACACTAATAACAACGATCATGAATGGAGTATTTTACGTACTGTATCTCCTTTACTTGTTACAAAAATCATCCTCATTTTGAAGAAGAGAACATTGAGGCTCAGAGAGGTTAAGTCACTTGCTTCATGGTCACACAGCCGGAATGAGACATAATCAATACCTTACAACCCGCAGTCTTCTCCTCTTTACCGTCCAGTCCCAGTCTCCCTGTATCACCCCCCGCACATTTGGCCCAAGAACTTCCTGGGACTTTCAGAGCTGCTCATCACCGGGCAATGCGGCCAGTGGGAGGGAGGACAGAAGCCCCTCTCCCTGGCCTCCCCTGGGGCGGGTGTGCACCAGCAGCACCCCTGTGCAGCCCTGACAGGGTCCGGGACGCCCCGGGTGTCCCCCGGGATGTGCCCGGCTCACCTCTCTTCAGTAGCACCACAGTCGCGTCACAGTTGCTGCTGTCGTCCACCTCGGCGTTGCTGGCCAAGCCGTTGACCATGTTTCCAGCACCTTTCGTCCTCCTCTCGAAGCACTGATGCATGCAGGCGTTGTATCTGCATGGCCACGGGTGGAAAGAGCCCATCAGCACCTGCCGATCCTCCAGCCCGGCTCCCGGCTCCCCGCTCCCCGCGGCTCTCCCAGCTGGACGCGTGGCGGGGACCCCGTGCCTCAAGTGACAGTGATTATTATTTTGTCATCGCATTTCCCTTAGAAAATACAACCTGCCCCACCTCCCGGCTTCAGGACGGCAGTGAGTGAACAGAAAGCCAGCGCCGCACGGGTGAACACGGGCGCCCTGCAGCGTCTGCAGCGCCGCTGCGGGGCCCGGGACGGCGCTCCCTTCTCGGGGTCTGCGCGTGGAAGGGCTCGGATGCGACTCAGTGGGGTGGACGGGGTCCCCCCGCTCCGGGCCGCGTCCCCAGGGGCCTGCTGACCGGGGAGGTAGGGGTCGTGTCCTGGCTGCTGCCCAGTGCTGCGCGTCACTATCCACGTGCACCGGAGGCTGGCCGGCGACGCCCCTGACTTTGGTTTCCTGAGGTCCCAGATTAGGGTCCTGGGACTGTCACTGTTGTCCCATAATTCCAGGTCTGAGGGGCTCTTGGTTCCGTGAGAAAATTCTGGGCTATGATGCTCCAGACAGAGTGAAAACACAAACGCTGTGCAGCGCTCCCCACGTGGGCGCTGCAAGGGAGAACCTTGGACAAGTTCCGAGGATGCTTCTGGCAGGTGAGTGTCCTGGTCCTTTATCGTTGGTGTGAGAAGATTCTAGGAGAGGAATCCTAGAAGACTCACGGGCAAAGAGCCACTGGGCAGTTCCCAGGGCACTGCAGGCCACGGCTGCTTCCCCTACCCCGAGACTGGAAGGCCTTGATGGCTTCCTGGCCATGGGACAAGCCATTGACATGGCCCACCAGCTTGGTCTCTGGCCTCCCAGAGACCGGCAGCCAGGCATGGGGGCTCTAAATCCAGCTGGCAGGCCCCTCAACGTGTTTTCCCCTCCTCCTCCTCATCCCTTGTCCTGCTACGGACGTGAGGCCCCGTGGAGTCCCTCCCCACTGCATCCTGCGGCCTGTTCTTCACCGAGCGCAGCTCTGGGTGGGTGGACCTGTGGGGGCTGGACCACCATCGTGGTACAGGTGGAGGGTCCTCTGTGGCTGGGCCCTCCCTGTACATCCTGGGAGCCCATGGTTCTTCCTACAGGCCTGAGGGAGAAGAGGAAGCTAGTCTAAAGGGATGGAGGCAGCTGAGAAAAAGGGAAGCGTGCAGGCCAGTCCTGGGGTTTACAGTCTCGGGTTCACAGGAGGCAGGGACTGGAATTAGAACATCTCTATTCTGCAACCTGGTGACACAGTGGAGCCAGACACGGGAGAGACAGAGAGACGGGGCATCCACGTGCCCGCTGCCGGGGGGCCACACCATCACTTAGGACACAGTGTAATCTGAAGCGGGTCAGTGTCTGCCAGAGGCCAGAGGAACCGGCCACGTTACCCCCCGGATGTAACTGACAACCTCCAAACCGTGGGGAATTCTGCGGAGCAACCAGTCGGATTTCATCAAAAACTAAATTGCGAGGAAAAACACAATGGGGCTGGGTGGGGGTGTTATAAATTTGAAGAGAACCAAAATGGAGCAACCAATTGTAACGAGTGGAATTTATTTGGATTCTGGTTTTTGAAATATTTATGACATTTATGAGATGAAAACTGTAAAAATGGTATTTATGAGCCATTGAAAATCTGAACACTGATGGGAAACTTAATCATATTAAAGAATCAGTGTTAATTTTAGGTATGGTAATAATCTTGTGTGCAGGCTTAAATGAGTCCTTTTAGAGACTTGCACTGAACTGGCGTGATGTCTGGGCCTTCAGATCACGTGGAGGGAGGGCAATGGCTAGGGGGCTGGGCGAGTGGATGAAGGAACCGGGCTGGCGGCTATCGGGGCTCGTGCTGAGCACGCGGGGTGCGTCACGCTATCCTGCTGACTGTTGCCACGGCCAGTGTTCGTAATGAAAAGGCCTCCCCACCTTCTAGATTCAGCGCGAACACCTTGCCCTCCCGATGGGGCTCTCGGGGAGGTGATTCTGTCATCTTGACTCAGAATCCATTTTCCCCAAAGAAATACTGACTTGCCTGAGAGCTTGCTTTTGAAGTTAACAACTGTGTGTTGTACGTTTATTTGGACGTGGATAACGGGATGGTAATACTACGTATCGTGAGCATGCGCGCTTGCTCGGCACCAGGCGCTGGTTAATTACTTAACACCTCCACCACGTCCCATCCTTACAGACACCCTTTCAGGTGGGAAGCATCATTCATTCCGCTTTTGGGAGAGGAAACTGAGATTTGAAATGGCTGAGTCACCTGGCTAAGGACCCGCCGGGGACCCCCGGCCAGTATGTGGCCAGGGCACCTGTGGCCAGGGCTGAACGTGAAACACCTGATCTCCACCGCCAGCCCACACTGCCTCCCCTGGGGCCCAAACCCCAGGGAAGTGACGCAGAGGGATGGAAATCAATCCTTGCCGAGGCCGGGTATCCTCACGCTCCCTCAAGGCTTCCACCTGTCAGGCCAAACTGAAGTTGCTTTTTGACCTTCAGACAATGTTTAAAGTCATTTTAAAAAAGCCACCTACCCAGGAGGCAGCTGACGGTTCTAATATATGCTGTTTTCAATGGCTGCTGCTCTGTTGTGTACTTTTAATTGAGCGTTTTCAATTTTGTGCTTGTCCCCCGAAGCTATTTTATGGTGAAGCATGCAATTTTATAAATCAGATTTTATAAAACCCAATGATTAAAGCCTCTGATTACGGAGGGGGATGGCTAAAGAGCAGAGATTTCCATTTAGAACTTAGAATCCGAATTTATGCAGAAAAAATCCCGCGAACGCGGTAGCTGCCTTCCCTCGTTTTATTTGCACCCTGCTGGTTTTAACAGCTGCAAGGTTGGTTGAGCTGGGGCAGCAGCACACCTCACCAGCTTCCACGCTGGGCACGGTTTGGGGGCAGAGAATTGTTCACCGTGTTCTCTTAATGCCCACGTGCCCCGCCAGCAACTCTCAGACTTCACGATGGCCTGGTAGGGGGGCGTGGTGGTCACAGGATACAAACTAGCAAAAATCCCTCAGTCTTCCTTCTTTTTAGGTGAAACAAAAGTTGAAACCTCCGTATTCTGCAAAACCCCTAATGAATTCACTATGAGACATTCTTTCATCTAAATTCAGATTTTTTTTTTAAATGGAGGTACTAGGGGTTGAACCCAGGACCTCACGCATGCTAAACATGTGCTCTACCACTGAGCTACACCCTCACCCTCTGAATTCAGATTTAAAACCCAAGCTCCGTGTTGGGCTTGTAGCAGACACTCGGTCAGTCCTTCTGGGGTAGTTGATGAACCACCTTTTCACAAAGGAAGATGCGAGCTCATGACTCTCTGGGGTCTCAAGGCACCAAAATGTTTTTTTAAAAACAAGATGAAATAAATAAAAAATGCTGAAAGAAGAAGACATACGTGTATCGCTGCAGCTTCCTGACGGTGGCCTGAGTTCCTGGTAGTTTTGCTCTTTGAGGGAAAAAGGAGCAAGACGGCTGCTCCCACCTTTACAGGCTTTTCCTTGGAGTCTAGAGAGGGTGGAGAGCCTTTGGGCCAACTCCGGTTTTCATGGGAGCTGATGGAAGGTGATTCGTGGTCGCTGTCAGTTACCTCACCAGGACATGTTTGGGAAAGGTTCTGTTCTAGAAATGCCCCCTTCCAGGACCAAGACCCAGACACTGGGTCCACACTGACCCCGGGACACATGGAAACTGGGCGCCATGTTGAGTGGAAGGGCGGCAGGTGGCCCACAGCCCGCCCCGGACATCGGCCAGGCCAGTTCCTCCCTTCACCGTCCCTGTGACATCTGCCAAGGGCCACGCTGATTTCTCTCAACAGGGCTCTCGGCCACTAGTGGCCGGAATTAGTTTTTGTCAGGCCTCAACAGCAAGGAAAACGTGACATGTCCGTTGCAGAGGGCTACTCGCTCTGCACAAACTGGTTCTACTTTCCTGCCCGCCGGGGAGGGCAGTCACGCCTGCAGTCACACACACTAGGGGAGAGTATGGGCTAATTTAGAGCAAAAGAGCCCGCTCCCGGGGGGCAGGCAGCTGCAGCACAGAGTATCTCTGCGCTATTTATCAGCTCCTCATCCTGATGGTATTTGGCACAAAGAGGAACCAGAAGGTGCACCCCAGGGTGCTCACGTTCTACCTCGGAGAGCAGGAAGCGTGAGCAACAGCGTTCCTGACATAAACAGGAAGCTGCCCAGACTCCAAGGGGAGAAGGACCCACAATAAGGTGGTTTAAAAATCCACCCACAAACCTTTGCCATGTCTCTCTTTGAAAGGTGGAGTAGACCCCTTATCTGTGGACTGGACTTAGGGATGCGCTTCTATTAAATCGAATACGGTGGAAGAGACAGTGTGTGCCTTGCGAGACCAGGTCACAAGAGGTGCGGCAGGGTCCTCCTTGCTCCCTGTCGAACCACCTGTTCTGCTGGAAGCCAGCTCCCCATGTGGGGGGCACTGGAGCAGCCCTAAGGAGAGCCCCACACAGTAAGGAACTGGGGCCTCCAGCCGATGGCCAGCACCAGCTTGCCCGAGGTGTGAATGGGCCATCTTGGAGCCCCAAACGGATGACGGCCGCCCTGGCCAACCTCTCACCTGCAATCTCAGGAGAGACTCTGGGCTGGAACCTTCTAGTTAAGCTGCTCTTGCGTGCCTAACTCTCAGAAACCATATGAGATAACACATGTCTGCAGTTTTAAGTCACTAAATTTGGGGGTCATTTGTTAGGTGGCAGTAGGTGACTGATACAATATGAATACTGGATGTCCACATATATTCAATCCATGGTTTTAGTTCTCTCTCATTCAGCTCTGGTCCCACCTTCCCTCCACCTATACAGAAGCACAGCACATTGAGTTGTACCTCCTTTCTTGTTATGAAAGAGAGTGAAGGCACAGACAAAAGCTAGGTTGCCCAGTCCTGAAGAGGGGCGAGGGTTTGAGAGATTTCTCAGACGAAACCCTGAAGCTCTGGTTCTGTCACACACGTGGGTGGCAGGGTCTGCGCTTCTGCTGCCAGTGGAAGCTGCAGTGGTTCTTAGAAGGGTGCCGAGGGGGCCAGGGAGCCTGAGACGGCCGCGCCTCCCAGACCAGCCGGGCCCCCGCCCTCTCCCCATCCCTCCCTCTGCACCGCCACACGGTGTGGAGCGAGGACAGAGTGTGGGGAAAGGAACCACCAAGGCCTTTTACTACTTCATAATGACGATGTAGACGAGGTACATGAGCACGAGGACCAGGGACTCCCACCTGCGGACCAGCCAAGACGGTCAGTTGACGGAAGCCGCCCCCGGCAGACGCGCAGCGCCCAGGCCGGCCTCGAACACGCCGCGCGGGAGCTGAGCCCGGCGACGCGGAGGCGGGCGAGCCCACGGGTCGCAGGCGCGTCCTGCTCTGCGGACGTTTCCTACGCTGCACCCGGCTTTCAGGGACCGCTCTCTCCCTCCTCCGCTTTTAAAAGGAAAATGCTCCCTCTTCTCTGTTACTCACTCACCCCAAAGAGTTTGTGGAACACAGTGAGCCTTCTACAATACTGTTGAATGTAAGTCTGCATTTAAAAATCTGCCCACAGCTCGATCATTCACTAAAATGACGCAGATACAAGGACAAACCAGAGGAACTGACTGGGGCAACCGATTGTTGGACACCTGGGAGCAAGGCACACACGAGGGAGGGGGGAGGG